ATGGATGGATGGACGGATGAATGGATGGATGGATGGATGGATGGATGATGGATGGATGGTATTTTCCTATTTTCTTTTCTCAGGTGATTTACCCTGAAAACAGAATTTAAGGAACCTTAGCTTGACTGCATCATCAGCACAACAACAACAACAACAACAACAATAATAATAATAATAGTATTAATAACAATAATAATAATTATAAGAAGAAGAAGAAGAACAATAACAATAACAATAACAATAGCAATAACAATAATAATAATAATAACAATAACAGTGAGGCCTGACCTTCCGGGGGCGGTCGGCTGCTCGGTTGTCTCCCTGCTGATGTTTCGGGGCCGGTGGCTAACGGAGCCTCTCTTCAGGTGACCGACTTCCCGGAGGAGCAGCTCCTGGTGGCCGTGTTCCCCGGAGTCCCGACGGCCGCCGAGCTCTTCCTGCTGCCCAAGAGGAACCAGTCCGAGGGCCGGAAGAGGAGCGAGGAGGAGCTGGAGAAGGTAGGGCGTGGGTTAGGGTTAGGGCCCGGCCTGAGGTCCAGAGTCCTGACCCTGCTCTGCCCACAGGCCTCCGCGGCCATCATCAGTGCCCTGAACCAGAACCTGGTGGAGTTCGAGCTGAAGCCGGGCGTCCGGGTCATCGTCTACAACACGCAGCTCACGCTGGGTAAGGAACGGGCCTCTCGTCACGTCTGGGGGAATGTCTGGTGTGTTGTCATGTCTTGATTACCTATTGTGTTCACCTGGGGTTCCCCTCCCTCATGTGTTTAAATAGTCCTGTTTCCCATGTCCTGTGCCAGTGCGTTTTCGTCATTTCGTCTTTTCGTCTCCCTTCACCACATAAGGTTTGATTTTTGTCACAGCCATGCCACAGTTTTGTTTGCTTTATTGCCACAGCCATGTTTTTGTCACAGCCTTGCCACAGTTTTGTTAATCAGAAACTCCCCCAGACGTGACACCTCTGGGCTGGGTGAGACATCACCCACCACATCATGTCCAGGAAGAGATGGATTCACTTTTGTTTTGGGAAACAGAACTGTAATAACCATGTTTTGACAAGAGGAATTTTTCCTTGGTCTACCAATTAAAATTCCTGTCAGGCTCCATCGCATGCAGAGGAGCACAGGGGAGCGCGAGGGGGGGGGGGAGGGGGGTTAAGTGGGGCTTCTTGAGAAGAGGGATCTTTTTATTTCTGCCATCAAAAGCTGAACATCTGTTCCATTTCTTATACAGCCATCCAACCACAAAATGAGTGTTACACTGAGTGTAATTATGTTGATTATTTAGTCCTTGAGAGGAAAAAACAGAGTACAATTTGAGGGCAGAGGCAGAATTAGTGGAGGAGTCAAAAGCAGTGTTTCTATCTGCTGCTCGGTTGATGATCAGGACCCCGGAAAGCCCCCTAAGTATCAAATCACTGTTTATTTATAGAGCAGACTAAAAACACTCTGCTTTCTTACACGTATTACCCGTTGGCTCGTAGAGAGTCCTGTCCTCGGTTGTTCAGACATATCTTCTGTTGTGTTCTCCGCCTGGCTGCTCTCATTAGCCACGGCCTCTGGAGGCAGCCCGACTTGTGTGTCTGAGAGTAAAAGGTTGTAACCGGCGGGCCCCGACACGGCTGCCTGCCCAGCTGGAGCCTCTTTATGTTTCAGCTCCCCAGAAAAGGTCTGAGGAGCCTCCAAGCTGCAGCCGAAAGGTCAGAGGAGCTCGCCAGGCGTCTCTGAGCCGGGACTCAGAGGTTTGAGGGAGCTGGGACTCAGAGGAGGTGGGCTCTGAGGCCCTGGGGGCTCCACCGGGGCTCCTCATGGGGCTCCACCAGGGCTCCTCATGGGGCTCCTCAT